ATGTAAAAAAGGAAGATTTTATGTGTTGTGTTTGTTTTGAAAATAAAATAAAATAAAATAAATTTTAAAAAAAGAAAAAAAAAGAAAATATTCCAGGAAGTTATAAGGCCATACGTGCTAAGGAGAGATGGTGGTCAGCCGGTTCGGACCGGTTCGGGAGAACCAGTAGTGGTGACCTGCAGGTCCACCCACACCAGCTCTGTACCATCCTATTTAGACACGTTTTTGAAGCATGCAAGCTGATCACATGAGCAAAGCACATGTGCGGAAGGCCGTGCACACATGTGGAAGGCGTGCATGCTGACAAAGCGAGCATGCGTGCGGGGCCCTGGTGGTAGACTTCCGTGAAACCCACATCTGATTCTAAGGCAGTAAGAGGAGAGAGAAGCTTTCACTTGCTTTATTTGCTTACCATTTCTCCAAAAGTGCCTCTGCATTTTGTAATGTTGCTGATGTGTTCAACAAGATTTTGGAACATGTCGTCCACTTTGAGAACAGGCTCTCCAAAAACTGCCATGTGGATCATTTGGGTGGCTGAATGCATGATCAGTAGGGAAGGATCCAGTGGTTGTCCTATACCCAGAAGTTAACAATCTGTTACAAACACAACAAAGCTGGTAGAAGGGAAAATAATATTCTGTAAAGCAAATTGCCTGCCATTGCTAAGTAAAGAAACCACAGACTGGTCAGCCACAGAAAGGCTGCCTGCCAGCTGCCGCCTTATGCAAAGGTGGTGCAATGAATTTGCCATGAACTCTGGTGAGAGTGAATGGGAATGGGGGATACTTTGGGGGGGGAATGAAAGTAACTGCCCTATGTCCTCAAGATGCTGCTTCAAGGTCACCCGGATGGGAGAAGAAGGCAGCTGCATACCAACCTACGTTTGAATTGACCATTCTGAAAACATTGTGCCTGAACCTGATTGGTTATACAGCAATGGCAGGCAGTTCTGGGAGGAAAAAGTTGAACTTGGGGATTTTGGCATGCAATTCTCGGTACTAGCTATGCTTGACTACAATCAGGGGTAGGCTGCTGGGGGTTCGCATGAATTCTAGCTAGGATTCTGCCCAGTTCGTCAAAATCCCAAATGCCACCCCTGGCTGGCTCCACCCTTCCCACCC